ATCAGGTTCTTCCTCTTCCGCGGATGTTGGGTCGTTGTTCACTTCCTGGGTCCTGTCTCCTTGATTATCTCCTTCACCCGATGATGTTGCAAAGTCCAAAGTTCGTCTGGCTTGTCCTTTAAACCTTCTTCCCATGATCACAACAACAATTAATTTCTTCGCTTTCTTCTTCTTCTCTTTGGCCAGTAGAGTTTTCAACTCCTCTTGTCCTTTTGTCAGAGCCAAGAGCATTTGTTGAAACTGGGCGTTCTGCGCCTGAAGATCTTTCATAGTTTATTCAACATCCATCTCACTGAAATAAACAGTAGAAGGATAAGGTGACCTGTTATGAGAAACTTGTATGATGTTATGATGAATGAAGATGCAATATGCAAATGATTTCACGGAAATTTAGAGATTTAAATTTGTTCAAACCAAAAAAGAAAACACGTTATATTAAAATCCAAGTTTGAATACATCATGCCTCCTTGGGCTTACAATGAAAGAAATAAAATACAACAAAGCTCCTAAGACAAAAAGACTGAACGCATCCTCTTTGGAGCAATGTAGGCATTCAGGTTTTTCTCTTCATGAAGCAGTTTGGTGAGCTCCATAACCTTCTTCTCACTGGCGTAAAACTGGGCTTCAAAGGTGTCTCACTCTTCCTTCAACTGAACCCAAGCTTTCTGCAAGTCTTCGAGAGAGGTAGGCATGTCAGGATGAAGAACGGTGTATGGGACGTCTCCTTCGACAACAGGCTCTATGATGACAGAAAGGATGGAAGGGTAAGGCATCATGAGACTGTGAGCATGAGCCCGTACCCACCTAAGGTAAGGCTCGATGGGGATAGAGTTTTTGTGTCCCAAAGTCCTACTGTCCACCTTGTTCACCATTCCTCATGCATGTGTAAACCTATGGCAGTAACCTTGGTCTTCTTTGTCGTAGTCGAACACCAGACCTTGGATGAGCATCTCGTGAGGGCCGTCTCTTCGGGCATACCCAAACTGTCAAAGAGCTAAGTAGGGGTTATAGGTGATACCCCCCTAATACCAAGCAGAGGTACGTTAGGGAACTCCCCACAGCAGTCAATGATAGAGACATCTTCCAAGGATCTTGAACACCAACGGATATCAGAGTGGGTGAGAGACATCATCCTTTGGGACCATGTCAGTCATTGCTCGTTCTTCAATGCTGATTGAGGTAGGTGTGAAGTGAACCATTTTGCGAGTAGGGGGATACAACACAAAAGAGTACCTCTTTTCTTCATGGTGCGGGTATGAAGGCAATGCAAGATGTCTCCTAGTAAGGTAGGTATAGGATTGCGAGAGAGAAAGACTTTGATGGCATTAACATCTATGAATTGGTTCGAATTGGGAAACAGAACGAAACCATAAATGAGAAGAGCCAAGACATCTTCGAAAGCTTGGAAATCCATGTCGTCCCAGAATGAACGAGCCTTTTCCAACAGAAACTTGGCTAGAAAGCCTTTAACCCTGCTTCTTGTCACCCAATTGGCTATGATGTTGGCCCTCTTCATATGCAAAGCTTCGGAGATGACCTCAGGTTTTGGAATCCCTTCTAGACCGGTGAACGGTATCTGATCAAGCACGGGCACCCCTAAGAGTAGAGAGAACTCTTCCAATGTAGGTACCAACTGATAGTCTGGGAGAGTGAAACAATGATGTACGAGATCAAAGAATTGGAATAGTACACACATCATCACTTCTTGGAAGTTGGATGTAGCCAAATTGAGGAGTCGACCATACTTCTTGGTAAAAGGAGAATCCCCGGGCACTCTTGAGGCTAGCTCTTGAAGTTGAGGGTGTGCTTTTACAAAGCTGATTCGAATGGTGTTTCTTCGGATGGAGTTCATGACCTACAAAACAAAAACAAAGATAAATTTTTAAATCCTTGAAATGGTTAGTGAGCATGCGTATGATGTTCATGATGTTTATGATGTTTATGTACAAGTAAATATTTACACACACAACAAACAAGTCCATATGTTTTAGGCTTGCATGGGGTTTTATAGGTAAGTACCCTCTTGAAGTTTATTTGGCTCAACCTGTCCTAGTAATAGTGATCGGGTTCTAAAGGATCTCAATATCACCGACCTTTCTCTTAGGCATTGTCTCAGCACAACAATCTTTTCTTGCGGCCGAGATATCCCAAAATTCTAGCCTCAATGAGTGTAGTATCGAGTATCAACCAATTTTCAGCTCTACACCGAAATCGACTATCTCACTACGTCCTAATGGCCAGGTTTGTTCAATTAGGGTTCTAAAGTCAATTAGTGCTTCATGACGCCACTCAGCGGCCCCGTATTCTCCTCGATTCACCACGAGGGATACCGGTACCCACAAATACGTCACACTAACATAGTCATTGTTTCAACCATATCGGTCTATGCCGTACAGTTTCCACAATCTATTGCTATTTACCTAAAAGGTGTCCCAAATTCGAGTGGAGGATCAAAGAAAGCCCAATACAAAGAACAAAATATAAAGCATACAAATCAAATAATGAAAGTAAGTAAAGGTGATATAACCCTAAGGTAACCCCATTTTTAAGTACATTCCCCAGCAGAGTCGCCAGTTTTGTGATATGGTGGGAGAACTGACTTGGTGTTGTGCGTTTTAATCGCATTTGTGCGAATAGCAAGAGTCGTCACCGACTTTTCTTTTATCCAAAAGGAAAGGTAAAAAAGCACAGGAAAGACCTTTCGAGATTATTTCTCGGGTTCGGGGGGTAGATTATGAAAAGGGAAGATATTAGCACCCTTTTCATCCATGGTTTTCCATGGGCTCTTAGTTACTCACTTAGATCACTTTCTTTTGTTTTGACAATATGCTTGTGATGTGGGCTTCGAAGGTGTTTTGAAAAATCTCTTTGTAATGGTTCTCGTCTCTATAAGAACGTATACAAAAATGTTTTCGTCTTTTCGAAAAATGTTTTGAGATGAAAGTGTCGGTGTAAGAATGTTTTTGTCGTGAGCAAGCGAGTAACTAGGAGCGAATCTAACTACTCGAAAGGTATCAAGGTTCTTTTCTTCCTCCTTTTAATGTTGATATCTTACCATTGATTTGGTAAGAAGCCCCATCGTTGGATGTAAAGGGACAGGCACGGGTCAATTTTACAGTCATCGAAAGCAACTTATGTGACGCTTTAGCAATTTTCGTAAGGGATGAGATCGTTTTATCGAAGGCAACATCGAGGGTCATCGAGGGACTACGATCTTTTTTATTGAAGGGTCATTGCTAAAGCGTCCCATATTCGAGGGACGTGATTGTATTTCCGAGGCAACGAGCGAGGTTACCCTAGAGGTGTGCGTGTGAAAAAAAGTGTGTTTGATTCAAGTTAATTTTATCTTTGAAATTAGGTTTATCTAGCGATTGATTTTAAATCTTGTCATACACGCCTAATTACTATACAGTAATAAGTAAAACATTAAAATGCGGAAATTGAAATTCTACGTTATTACAGAGCTTCGGGAATGGGGGGTACAAATTAATGAATGGGGGTGACAGTAAGAAATAAATATTTAAGTCACACAATACAAGTCCAAATCGTTAAATAATTATTTAAGTTAAAACTCTTTTCATTTGATAAAATTAATTAAGGACTTAATTAATAATGTCAAACAAAAATTATCAGCAGCGCTTTTTAAAAGCGTTGTCTAAGGTCACATTTTAGCAGTGCTTTTATTTATTATTGTATACAGTTTCCGTGTTTTTTTTTAATTTACTTATAGCAGCACTTTTGTATAAAAGCGTTGTCTAATGTGCAATGTTAAAAGCACTTTTTGGCGTTGTGTTACACGACTCTGATGGTGGAGATAGTAAGTTATACATCCTTTAGAGACCGACATCCAAGCAAGCTTTATACTCCTAATTTACCATAAAGAAGACATGATCACCACCCTCACATAGTCATTCATCACCGAACGTAGATGCAACTCGTTTACAAGACAAAACACTAATTTTCATATTCCTAGGTCTTTGGAGAAATCCTAAAATATAGAAATTTACAATGGTAGTAAAGACCCTAGATCACATCAAACACATGGACACAATATTAAACTATCACCAAGTTAAAGAAGTAGTAAAATGTAAGAATTTTGTCCTCAACTTGAAGGAAGAAATTGTAATTTGGTTCAAAGCCATAGAAGAAAACCCATAAACTCCTAGAGGACACTATGTAACAAGTTCACATCTTGCATCATAGTGTCAAAACACTAACTAAATACCTTGGTCGATCTCCACACCATTCATAAAAAATGAAAAAGAGTGTTAAAAGAGTACAATGACAAATTAACAAATGGAGATGTAGAAGTGGAAGGGCCAATGAGACAGACTGAAATGTTGGATCTTTAAGAAATATTTAAGGTCAAACTACATCCTTGGAGATAAGTTGGAATTGGATGAACCACTAAGTATGTGTGAGTTACTTGCTTGGACTCAACCATATATCAACTATGAAGAGAAGTTGCTAGTTGAAAATATGTAGATGAACAAGAAATTTAAGAAGCCCGAAGATAACAAACGATGTGTAGACTAGGATAAGGAGAGGAGAAAGAGGTCTTTCTACCCCAAATTTCAAATTTTTAAAGCATGGAGAAGCTATATATACATCGAAGTACAAGACGGTATATTCAGATAACATCTCAAAGGATGATCATTAGCCAAGAAAGTCTTGAGAGCGGGATATTAATGGCCTTCAATGGTCAAAGACGACAAGAAATATGTGATAAAGTGTGAAAGGTTCTAGAAGCAGAGAGACATTTACATTTCCCTTCCTTTTGAACTCAATACTCTAGTTGCTCCATGGTTATTCTCCTAGTGCATAAGAGACTTTGCATTTCCTACTGACTCTTGGGCATTTAAAAATTCTCATAATGGTGACGATCTACTTCGCTAAATGGATTGAAGTATAAGACCTAGCGAAAATAACAACCACCAAAATTCCTAAAATTTTCAAATATAATGCCATGTCTAGATATGGGATTGCATAATCCCAATACTATGGAAAACACAAACAATGACAGCTCCGAAACACATATAATGATGGATGTACGCTTGTTGTTAGGTAAGGTGTGATTGTATGTACGCTGGTTTCCTAAAGAGCGTGTGATTGTTTTTATAAGTTAAGTAGCGCACTACGTATAACTACAGTTGAATATTTCAACTATTGTAAAAAAATTCATAGTTCATGAATTCGAACCATAAAATGTAATTATTGGTTTTATTATTCTACTTATAACAACGGTTGAATAAAACAACTGTTGTGATATTATTGGTAAACCTAAATAAAATAATATGATCTTGTTCTCTTGGCATGTCTTGTCTCTTGGTGTCTTGACTGTAAACACCAAATAAAAATACTTAGAAATTATAATTTATAGTAAATTATGAACGAAGTATAGGCACAATAATTTACATATAGAAATTATAACTTACAATAAGTTATCTTGTTGTCTTGAAATGTCTTTCCCATATTCCTTCTTGATGTTCTTCATATTAAGTAGGCACAAGAATCTACACATAGAAGATACAAAAAAAAAGAGATAAGGGAGAATATGAGTAAAATAAAAATAGAAAATTATCCATAATATCCAAGATAGTCAGAGTTAGATTCTTGATCCATAGTCTTCAAGGTAGTTTGTATGTTAACCAAGATTTCTTCTTATAAAAAACAGATGTTTGCATAACCATCAACATCACATAACTCTTCAGCTAAAATGGATAAACATAAAGCAAAGCAGTATAAGACTGAAAAGAGGGATTTTAAGAAGGAGATTATCAAGTTGATGAAGAAACAAGCAAATGAAGAGAATCTGATGTCTGAGGAAGCTTCAAAGGTTCAGAAGTCTGAAGGAATAGACACATCTGCTAGGGCCTCCAAAGTGGAAGAAGAGAGGGATACAAAATAAAATTATCTAATGTAGGTACAACTGCTGAGGATCCAAAATATAATGCATTCTTAATGAATAAAAGAATTTCCTTCTCTTAGTGTCTGTTTCCATTTACTTCCTTTAACAACACCAAAACCTAAAGCATATCAACAACCCAATAATGAGTTTGTATCTACACAAAGTTATTATCACAAAATTAGAATAAGAAATGAGCATAGCAAAGAACAACCCAATACACATCACAATGATATAAAAGGAACCCTAGCAAAGAATATAAACTTTCAAGAAGCAATACCAATACCACAGAGAGAGAGAGAGAGAGAGAGAGAGAGAGAGAGAGAGAGAGAGAGAGAGAGAGAGAGAGAGAGAGAGAGAGAGAGAGAGAGAGAGAGAGAGAGAGAGAGAGAGAGAGAGAGAGAGAGAGAGAGAGAGAGAGAGAGAGAGAACAAACACATAATAGTAATGTGCCGTAAGTCAAAGAGGATATTCGTTTCCAAAAAATGAATGAAGATGGTTAAGATTTCGCTATCGTTGTCGTCTCGTTCTCTAGGACACCCTTGTGTGTTATGAACGAAATAAATTGTCTGTTATATTTTTATTAAGTGAAAAGAATTTCACAATGGTTTCAAGAAACAATCATAGTAAAATATGGAACATATAACCACGATTGAATGAAACAATAGTAGTTGTTATACTTTCAATTTTTAAATAACAAAAAATATTAGGAATCACACACTTATTTTTATTGAAAAAATGAAAAAATATTGATGATGACATTCGAAGCTTGTCATCCGATTTCTATGACCACAGTTGGATTTAAGAACCATGATGAAATATTTATGAATTAAATAAAATAAATTAACCCACATAAAAAATATTACCACGATAAATAAATGGTTGTCATAATATATCATCACCGTACATATATTTTATAGTAGTGTTTGTTGTCACACGAAACGAAACGACATCCAATTGATGGATAAAAAATATGAAAAAACTCTTCTAAAACCTATAATCAAACACCACTTTACATAAGGGAGCGCCCTCAAAATATAGGCCAGGCAAAAAGCTGCCAACAAAGTCTTATTATGAGGAATAAGAAAAATATTTGAGAGATGTAAAGGCAACTAGGTAAAGAGACACCAAATGTTCTCTAGTTGTACACTATTTTAAAATTCTCTTTTAGTAATCGAATTAGAAATCAAAACAAGTTAGTCATTATAAAGTTTTGAGATCAATTTAGCGACTATCAATTTTTTTGTTGGAAAAATACTAGTCAGTAATCTTTTCGAACAAATATAGTGACTGATTTTAATATTATTTTTCACTAAATAAAATTTAAAAATGTCTGACCTCGGAATCAAACCTACAACCTCAAAAAACTACTATAAAACCTAACCATTAGACCATTTAATATCTTTTATTAAGTTTAATATATATTTTTTTTAATAATATATATATATATATATATATATATATATATATATATATATATATATATATATATATATATATATATATATATATATATATATATATATATATATATATATATATATATATATATATATATATATATATATATATATATATATATATATATATATATATATATATATATATATATATATGTATATATATATATAAATTAAAAAGATAAAAATTTCTAAAAATTTGCAAATAATATTTAGAAAATCAGTAGTTGCTATTTAATTTAATTGATGTAATGAAAATAAAATTCACTTTTATATAAATATAAAAATGAAATTGCATAATTTTTTATATAAATATATATTTTAATTGTTAAAACAATTTTAGTAAAATTAAAAATTAGAAGGGAATTAAAATCTTAAAAAATAATATAATGGAAATAGTAATTTAATAAGGAAGATTAAAGAAAGAAAATAAAATGAAATATATTAGTGACTGAAATTCGGTCGCTGCTTTTTTTTATATAAAATAAATTTTATATAAAAAAAATTTGGATCGAATTGTCGATCACAATTTTAATTATTAAATCGGTGACTAATTATATTTTGTGACCAATTTAACGATATCTAAAGTTTATTCATAGATATCATATTTAATGACTAATTTGGTGGTTAGATGTATCATAATTTTTTAATCATTAAATCGATCATTAAAAAGAAAATTTTCCACTTGTGATATAAAACCACAACTCATTCCACCACCAATGATACACCATTTAGTCTTACATAAACTAATGATTCCTTTATTCTCATTGAAGTAGAGGAGCATGGCTGGAGGACGGTGTACCCCTTCCTCGATAACAAAAACTCACAAACGATCCAATTAGAGCTTGACTTCCCAGATGAAAAAATATTTTTATTGTCTTCATCGATCTTGCAATCAAATAGGCCACAACATTCAAGTATAATAATGTTGGAAATCCACCAAATTCTATGATGAATTTCTATGATAATGACAATTTAATTATGAGACAAACAAAGAAAAGAAGACAAGACAAAGATTTCTGCAGAGTTTCTCTCTGCCTACAAATTGTGGAAAACTTTCTTAATCACTTGCAACTGCAAATTCTGTGATTAGAATGAATTGACTTACTTGTCTTTCTTTTCTTGCTATCAAAATAGAGGTTACTCCCTCTATTTATAACTGAGCTTACACTCTAAGCCCAAGGCCCAAAATATCTTTTTGTTACTAAATCAAATCTAATCAAATCTATTCTAGACTTAAATCAAATCTATTTAAATCTAAAACAAATCAAATCTTCTTTGACACTATGAATTACAATTTAACACACCACCTAATTCATTGTGTCTAAACTGTCTATGTTCATCATGGCTCTTAGCTTTCTGAATACTTCGACTTGCACTCCCTTCGTCATGATGTCTGCAATCTGATTCTCAGTTCTGCAGTGTTCCAAATTCATCTTCCCATCTGCTACCTGCTCTCGAAGATAATGGAATCTCATTTCGATGTGCTTACTTCGACCATGTGCTATTGGGTTCTTTGCCAGATTAATAGCTGACATGCTGTCTATCTTCATGGTAATTGCTCCATGATTTTTCCCTGTTATCTCTTCGACCAAGTTCACCATCCAAGTTGCTTGACATGCACAAAGAGAAGCAGCTATGTATTCTGCTTCGCATGATGATAATGTCACTACTGGTTCCTTTCTTGAATTCCAAGCAATTGGTGCACCACCTAGCATAAACACATATCCTGCTATTGACTTTCGATCTTCAGCATCACTACACCAACTCGAATCAGTGTATCCCACTAACTTGCATTCTTTTCCTTTATCAACTGCAGGAAACAAAATGCCATAATCGAAAGTTCCTTTGAGATACCTTAGTATCCTCTTCACTGCTGCTAGATGTGATACCTTTGGCTTCTGCATAAATCTACTTACCATACCTACACTGTATGCTAAGTCAGGCCTTGTATGACAAAGATATCTTAATGATCTAATAAGTCTTTTGTATTGGTCTGGATCAACATCATCTTCATCTGCATCTTTCGACAGTTGCAGTCTTGATTCTGCAGGTGTCGAAGTTGAGTTGCATTCTTCCATCTCAAACCTCTTGAGAATTTCTCCTGCATATCTTCTTTGATGCATCATCAAACCTCTACTGCTCTTGTAGAATTCGATACCAAGGAAATATGAAATCTCACCCAAATCAAACATTTCGAATTCCTTGCTGAGATCACCTTTGAAGTCTTCGATCTCACTTTTACAGCTACCTGTTATCAACAAATCATCTACATAGAGACATAGTATAAGCAATTTACTCTTGCTTCTTCTTACATATACTCCATATTCAGTTGTGCACTTCACAAATTCCTTCTCCCTTAGAAAACTATCAATTTTCTTATTCCAAGCCCTTGGAGCTTGTTTCAATCCATACAGGGCTTTATGTAGCCTGTACACCTTTCTTTCTTCGTCATGTTTCACAAACCCAACTGGTTGTTTAACATAGACTTCTTCATCTAAGGTTCCATTTAGGAATGCACACTTCACGTCCATCTGACATATGTGTCAACTGTTTATTTCTGCTAGACCAACAACCAACCTGATTGTTTCGATCCTAGCAACAGGTGCAAAAACTTCGTCGAAGTCTATTCCTTCTTTCTGTAGAAATCCTTTCGCCACAAGTCTTGCTTTGTTTCGAGTTACTTCACCTTTCGAATTCGTTTTCACTTTGTATACCCACTTGACATCAATTGCCTTCTTTCCTTGAGGCAATTCGACAAGTGACGAAGTGTTGTTGTCTTCGATAGACTTTACTTCTTCGTTCATTTCTTTCACCCACTTCGAATCTTTTAATGCTTCAGCTGCATTAACAGGTTCGACATCTGCATAGAAAGCATAATGTACCAGCTCACCTTCATTATCTATTACATCATCTGATGTAATCACACAATCTTGCAATCTTGCAGGCATGCGTCTTGTTCTTTGAGGTCTGCTTGTACTTGGTATATCTGCTGGTTCCTCTTGTCGAACTTCTCTTTCGACTTGAGTTTCTGGCTCTTCGAATAGGATTCCCACTGAATCTTTCTTGACATTTGCAGTCCAATCCCATTCTTTAAACTCATATATGATCACGTCCCTGCTGATCACAATCTTCTTGTTCTCTGGATCGAACAACTTGTAGCCTCATGTCGAATGATATCCAACTAGGATCATTTGACTTGACTTGTCATCAAGTTTTCTTCTCAACTGATCTGGCACATGTCTATGTGCAATAGATCCAAATACCTTCAGATGACTCAAGCTAGGCTTCACACCAGACCAACATTCTTCTGGATTAATTCCTTCTAGCTTCTTTGTAAGACATCTGTTCAAAATGTATGTTGCAGTCGAAACAGCTTCACCCTAAAACTTTTTAGGTAAACTCTTTCCTTTCAACATACTTCTCACCATATTCATGATGGTTCGATTTTTCCTTTCTGCAATTCCATTTTGTTGTGGAGTATAGGGTGGAACCACCTCATGCACAATCCCTTCCTTTTCACATAATCTGTCGAAGTCTTTC